TGCTGACTTAAATGAATGAAAAAGCAAAAAAAACACAACAAAAAAACCCAAGTTTTCATCATATTTTCCCCAGTTTTGATTGAAATTCATTAGCTGGCGTGTCAGAATCTGATCTTTTCTTTATTTTTATCATAACAAAAAAAGCGGTTGTTATATACAGAATTTAAGAAGAAAATTAAGGTCTGATTATGAGGTCCTTGGGTATCAGAAAAAGTTTGTAGTCATTTCCAGGACGCTAATACCAATAAAAATCTGCATTATATACTCAAGTATATGCACTACTCACGAGTGCTCCTTCTACTTTTTCAACATCCATCACTTCTTTGCTTGTCGAAACCAAAAAGAGCCCATTTTAACCCTGGACTCATAACACCACGTGATTCAACATCTGTTTTCTAGTTAAAGATGCTCATTTGGCCAACTGCCAAGGTGACCATGCAAAGGACACTGTTAAAATACTCATTTAAATAAATAAATAAGCTTATGAATAGAGCATACAGGATGCGGTGTGTGGGGCCAAGGATGCATGCCACCTCCAGTTTCCTATCAAGGTGGGAGCTACACGTTAAGGTGGCTGTTTCCACAGCTACAACACTGAGGCCTGCATACAACACAGTGTAACCAATTCGTTCACGTCACACCAACCTCATTGGTCACCGGGCATAATTAGCACCCAGCTTGTATCTCCCCTTGCAATGTTTAGGCAGCTCCTTAGACTGTAATTGAGAGACTGCATTAGAGGCAGGAACCTGATAGAAACACTTTTGCTAACCCTTTGAAGGAGCATAATGGAATTAGCTTCCTAAGTAGTTACCCTAAATCAGACATCGCATGTTGGAGAGCATGAATTTACCCTGTTGAGTACTCTGTATGAAATCACAACAGGTGATACCTACATTTGTGTTCAGGCCAACAAAATCCCAGTGAGCCTTGTAACCTTGCAGCTGAAGAAGTGCGAGTAGCACACATAGACCTTGTTTTAGAGGTCCACAAGGGTGTGGCTTTAGCAGTTTTACAGATTAAGGGCAATACCTGGTTACAGTTTGCTGAACTGCTGCTTTTTGGAAACATGGTCCCACCTGTAAAATATTACTTGGGGAATCTGAGGAAGGTTGTAGCAGCACCACCTTCTCCCCAAACCCATCTCAAAAGCTGAGGAGGAGGAGGAAGGACATATTTTGCCTCCTGTGACAAGTATACACCAATTGTCTTGTTTCCATACTGATGGCTGGGCACACTAATCTGTGGCAGCAATGAGAGATGTGAGGGAGGCCTATGCCTTCCTTGGGTATAATGCTGAGAAATTTTGGTGCTTTTCAAAACACTGAGAAATCCCTTAAAGCAACATATAATTATACTGACAGAGAGGCTGAGAGTGTAATTTCCCATTGTGAAGGGGACATTTTGGCCACCCAGAGGTTAGCCAAAATCAAACTACAACAGATTTGCTCCATAACATTACAGCCTGTCTACAAAATACAGAAATACTTACTGAAAGAAATTATACCCATGAGAGCAAAGCTCAGCAAAATGTCACCACCTAATAATATGACATAGAAAAGCAGCAATTATGTTCTATTACTTATAGTAAGAATCAGCTAAGTGTATAAGAATGTGTATCCTTCGACTATATGAAATATATGTTATTTACCTTCATCAGCAATTTGAACAATAGCACAGTTAAAAATGTATGTTTTATTGGAAATTGATATATTTACCTCACTGACAATTACAGCTTCCCTCTGGATTTAATCTACATCATCAATCCCTATTTCCTTCTTTTTGTTCATTTGCTTACATTTCAGTTTCTGCATGGCTGAACTTTGCCAGTGCAAGCAATGTCATCTGAACATTTCAAGCACCCACAAATATATATGAACACAACCATCCATTGGAAAGGCCTTTACCATACAGAAGACAGGAAGCCAAGGGAAAATGTTGGTCCACTCTATTAGAGGGGAAATTTTGAAAGGTATCATAGCCCAAGACTGTTTCTCATCTTGCTGTCCAATAGCCAGAATGGCCATATATTTTCATAGCATGTTTTTCTCTGAGGTCTGGCCCCAGGAACAGTGGTGGATTTAGTACCAAGTACATAGGAAGCATCCTTAATTGTGAACGAATATGACTGCTAGCATAAACGCCAACTATTTCCCCTGTAAACTAGATGGGATGCTAGGATTACCCCTTTCAGTCCTTTTACATTACTAGAGAAGCCAGAAGAAATCCAGCAGTGTTAATCAATGCTTGAACTCCCTGAAGGCACCAGTCTTTTACAGTCTCCATATGTATTAGATAATGACAGTAAATTATGAAGTGAGAGCATCTCCCTAGCTTGAGGATGCAAATACCATCAGGGTTGGCCAGTTTATAGGTGATTATTCGGGCTGTTGTGACAAAGAAAACAAAAGGGCTATGAAGACTTCTAGACATTGGGAGCAATTGTACCTTGGGACTGACTCCTCCCAAAAAGTTTACCTAATTTGCTGGGCAAACTTATTCTCCTCTCTCTCCTGGATTATTTACATGTCTCTTCCTGGAGATACCAATCAACTACCTCCTTCCCTTGGACTCTGCAAGTCTAAGGTGTTTCAAATCAAGGGGAGTTCATACACAGAGAAATAAGAGTTGAAACAGTGTTGGCTGTCCATTTCAAGATGTGATTGGCCAGAACAGGAACATCATATGCTGCAACAACCCACTTAGACAGGAGAGAGATGGGTCGAGAAAGGGAAAGTCAAATATGTGTATTCCTGCCCCACTATCAAACGCACAAGGAAGAGTTCAGCAGCCCTCTAGAGATCTGTTAAATTTATCTCCCTTGTGACAGCTAACACGGATAAATCTTTCATGTATTGGCAACTGCTCTTAACACATCTCTTCTGGGTGGAGGGTGTGCCCTGAACCCAGTAGTCCTCGGTTTTACAAGATCCTTTAGGCTCTATTGTAGAACAAGTGTGTAGCACTTACTGAGATTCATAACCTTGTAAACTAGTTGCAAAGAGTCAAGAAAGGTCTGTTCAGCTTTTTGTGCTGCTCTGGTTTCAGGAATAAACATTGGGGGATGCGGACACATGAACGTGAAAACCTGCTGAAACATGACAGATGAATTAAAGATGCAGAAGATGGCCCTTTGTAACTCACTCCTGGAGCTGCACTCGTTCCTTTTGCCTCCTACCTGACAGACCATGACACTGAACTTTGCAATTAGCTCACAAAAAGGGTCTTGAGTAAAATTTTTCTAAGTTATCTCCATTTCTACATCCAACTCACTCTCATCCTGCACTTTGCATAAATTATTTTGTGCATGAAGTAACTTGAAAAAAGAGGAATAATTATCACTTATCTGCCTGACTCATGTACATTGGAGTCTTTTTCCCATAAGACTGTTCTTACTATCCTATGAGACTTCTGTATATTTTTGTTTTGCATTGATTTTCTTTGAGCACGGGAAAATTTTGACAGTGCAAATTTAGGAAACTAGGCTGTAGTACAGCATGTCGAGCTCAAAATGGATCTAGGTGGCTGCTACCTCATGCCTATGCAAAAAGTACTGCTATAGGATAAATGTTTTCTCTTGGTTTCCTTCTGAAATTTCAGTCACTTGAATGAGCTTGTATCATTTCAATAAGAAGCAAATTCTTGAAATCCAAGTTATTCAGCACACTTCAGAAGAACCCTGTGTTTAGGCTAGATTACCTAAAGATCTGCATGCTTCCCAGGAGCATGGCATACATCTGCACCTTTTGTGTCTATCAAGCAAAAAAGTTGGGTTTATTTCCAACAAATATTTTAGTAGATTAGG